TCCGACGAAACAGTTTGTCACAGCCCCTCGTTTGTTGTCCTCTTCTCCCTCTCTGCCTACGGTTTACCGGGCAGTTCTATTTGACGATATATCGTTTATATGCCACAGCCCCTCGTTTGCTGTCCTCTTCTCCCTCTCCGCCTACGGTTTACCGGGCAGCTCTGTTTGACTATATATACCACGATTTCGCTAGCACCCTGCTACGGTATTCTTCGGTCAGGCCGAGTGGCAGTGGTCGGGGCTGTCACTACGCGGCCATGCTGTGCCTCTAGTGCCAGCGGCATGTCTGGAGTGTATATTTTGGCTGTGACAGACCTTTCTTTGTTTCGTGGGTGTTTTGCTTGCTTGTGATGGGGTGTGAACCGACAGTCTGTAGAGTTTTCCATCTGGTGTGGGTGAGTGACAGTCTGCGTTGACTTTTGCCACAGGTACCTTGAGGGCAGTGGTTGGTGCCCACCTCAGGGTATCAGTTGTCGGGCAGTCGTTGATGCTTAACCACAGACGGGGTTAAGGTGGATTATCACTTACAGTGTTCTTATACACATCAGATGTGTATAAGAGACAGCCCCCCCCCCTTTTCGTCTAACAAATTGAGTAATTAATGTCACAGAATTAGGTTAATTCAATTACGAATTAATTACTATTAATTAATTATTTGGTTTGGACGGCAAGTTGAAGGCCCCTTCCTTGCCCCTCCCTCCCTCCCTCCTTCCTTTGCTCTCCTCTGCAAGGAGGGAGGGAGGAGCAAGAAGAAGTATTTTAAGTCGACTCGAGAAAGTTCTCTCTGCCTCTTTCCCTGGAATCACTTCTTTTTTTTTATCCTCCCCTACTGCAGCAGGACAGCCTCCACAATTCTGCTCGTTCCTGAATACATCAATCACCAAGGAAAACAAAAGAAATAAGGTACAACAATCAGAGAATTGATGAGCGAACGAATGAACGAATGAACGAACGAAAGAACGAATGAACAAGCGCGAACGAACGAACGAACGAACGAACGAACGAGCGATTGCGTGAGCGAACGAATGAACGAACGAACAAACGGACGGACGGATGGACGGACGGATGGACGGACGGATGAACAAACGGACGAACGAACAAACGAACGAATGAAGGAATGGATCAAGCCAATCCAATCCAATCCAATCCAATCCAATCCAATCCAATCCAATCCAATCCAATCCAATCCAGTCCGATCATCAATCAATCCCATCCCTCCCTCCCTCCCTCCCCATCCCATCCCATCCCATCCCATCCCATCCCATCCCATCCCATCCCATCCCATCCCATCCCATCAATCCAATCCAATCCAATCCAATTCAGTGTCAATCAATTGACGATGGAGTTCTCAGGCAAGCATCCAATCCAATCCAATCAATCCAATCCAATCCAATCCAATCCATCCAATCCAATCCAATCCAATCCAATCCAATCCAATCAATCCAATCCAATCCAATCCAATTCTTTGGTGATGGTTTTGGTTTTGTTAAACGAGTTCCCGAGCAGCTGACTATCTTCTCCCAGATAGAAAGCACGCTCATTATAGCTGTATTTGGGGCAACTTAAGTCTGGATACAGAGAAAATGACAGTACGTTCTATTCGGGTGAAGACGGTAGTAGAACTCCTGAAGACAGGAGCTACTGTTTCTCGGCATGCTGGACTGCTTTTCATAATTTGAATTTGATAAACCAAGCATTTAAAAAAAGAGAAGAAAGGAAATCCTGCTTGGCTGGAGGTTAGTGTCGATAGGAGGAGAAGATGTAAAGGGGGAATGGTGCCCCCCCCCCTTCTTCCTCTTCCTCTTCCTCTTCCTCTTCCCTCCTATATAGGGAGCCAGGTGGTGCGAGGTGGTTGTTTGTTGTTGATATTTATTGGTATATTGTTTTATCATATTACTTGCGCAGATAATTTGTCGACTATTTTTTTCCCTTAAAATTTTGTTAAATTGGTGTTGTGTCAGGTGGCACTTCTCTCCGCACTGCCGGCATTTGCCGGCCACAGTGTTGTGGTGGGGCCTACTTTGCAAGTTCTGCAGCCGCTTCAATGTCACCAATCCAAGTAAGAGTCATTGACTGTGGACATATACTGTGGTGGATGGAATGTGGTGATCCCCACTTTCTCTCTTCCTTCTCCTCCTCCACCTCCTATTGCTGGCATTGCTCCCGATTCCGTGTTCTTCTCCCTCTTCTTTCTCTTGTCCTTCTTTTCTTCCTCTTCCCTCTTTGTCGTCGTTGTTTTCCTCCTCTTCCTCCTCCTCCTCCTCCTCTTCCTCCTGCTGCTGCTGCTGCCCATCCTCATCCTCGTGTTTTCCCATTCCCTTTTCCTCATCCACCTACTCTGACAATTTCCTCCTCCGTCTCCTTCTCCCTCTCCTGGCATATTCTTGTTCTTTTCTCCTCCTCTTCCTAGTCCGGACCCCCTCTTTCTTTCTCCTTTTCTCCTTCCGCCCCTTCCTCTGCTCCTTTCTCCCCCTCCTCCCCCTCCTCCCCCTCCTCCTCCTCCTCCTCCTCCTCCTCCTCGTACTTCTTCGCAGTCATAATTATCATCAAGTTTATTGCCATTATTGTTTTTGTTATTACCAGCATCACTACTACTGTCTTCCTTCGAATAGAACACATGGTCATTATTGCGGTATCCTGTACTGACAACGACCCCAGATACAGCTATAATGCCCATGTGTTCTATTTGAGAGGGCTGGCGGGGGGCCCATGGGGGGCTGGGGGGTGGGGGGAGGGGAGCGGGGCAAGGGGGGTGTTGGTAAAGCCGGTAGCAACCATAATGGCCAATTATTCACTGGTTGTAGCTTGTCGCATCTTCCTTGCTGAACAGGGGGAGTTGTAAGGAAGAAGATAAAAAAGTGAATTTCTTTTTTTTGTTTTCTTTCTGTTTTCTTTTCGCTTTTGCGCTCTGATAATTTTGTGACAATATATACTCCGGCGTTGCTAGCTCTCTGCTTTTGCAGATGATGCGGCGAGCGTCGGGCCTGTACTAACAGGCTCTTCTTTGGTTATGGAAGAAAATAATTTCGATTCTCTCTTTTCTCTCTTTTTCCTTTTTCTGTTTTTCTGTTTTACTCTTCCCCATGGTTGGGGTATTTCGTTTGCGGACCTACTGTATGGTTCCGTTTTCTTACTATTGATATGGCAGAATTGTTTTGGTAACCTTGTCTGCGTCCCGGTTGGTTTTGTCCCGTTGTTCGGTCTATTTGGAATGCGTAGCGGTGCTTTCATGTGGGACTAGTCATCCGGGTTCTCCTTTTTTTTGGCATCCTGGTTGGTTGTTTCCCGTTGTTCGGCCTAAGTTTGGGGGCGGTGCTTTTATGTGGGAATCGTCATCTGGGATTGTCTTTTATGTTCGTTGCGGTAACCGCAATAGATCCATTTCTTTTTTGCAGATAAGGTGTTTTTCGGCATCCTGGTTGGTTGCTTCCGTTGATCGGCCTATAGTGCGGGGGCGGTGCTTATATGTGGGAATCGTCAACCGGGATTGTTTTTTATGCACATCTGTTGGTGGTGTCGAAGGCTTTATCGTGCTTTGAATCCTGGCTGGTTAGTCCTGTCGTTTGGCCTGTGTGATGCGGGGGTGGTGTTTGCATGTGGGACTTGTCATCCAGGATTTGTTTGCCCCCTGTTCTGTAATGTTTGGCTGTTCCCTTCCTCTTTTCATTGCCTCTTTGCCTTTTGGCTGTGTGCAAGTGGGTCGATATGACACACGGGGGTGGGGGCAGCCGCCGCTCAACCACACCCACGTGGGCGGCCTTGTACGCAAGAGGTTCTGAACAGGGGGAGTTGTAAGTAAGAAGATAAAAAATGAATTGATATCTTTTTTGTTTCCTTTTGTTTCGCTTTTGCGCTCTGATAACTTGTGACAATATATACGATATATATGTCTGGAGTGTATTTTTTGGCTGTGACAGACCTTTCTTTGTTTCGTGGATGTTTTGCTGGCTTGTGATGGGGTGTGAACCGACAGTCTGTAGAGTTTTCCATCTGGTGTGGGTGAGTGATAGTCTACTTTGATTTTGGTT